AACAATACCAATACACGCGCGTACGAACACTCACCACAATACACACACACACATAATAATATTCACCACACAAACTCAGTGTAACTGTCCATGTGATTGTAACTTGTTGTTAATACACATATTTGTTTGCATATAATTATCGGTCTTGTTTGTTTTCTTTGCCTTCTTTGGACTTAAAGTCCAACATTCTTATTTAACTGGATAGTCTAAGGTAGAACCAATAAAGAAGAACTCGAACACGTATATGGAATAACACAGATATATTACAAACAGGAATATATACAGAGAAGTAGAAAGTGTTAGTACGAACAATCAGGTTTAGTAGTAATTGTCTGAATACGACTCTGTTTCGGTCTGCCTCTGACTCGACTGACTGACTCGCTCGCTCTGACTGACTGACGGACCTCACTCCAGACTTCAGACTGAACGATATTCAGTCACCCCCCCACGAGGGTGTCATGTGGCACAAGGCCTTTTTAACGTGGGATCTCCGAGCCCGTGACCTCGGCCAAAAATATGCCCATTGAACCCGCATAAACGGGTTCAGGGTCGGTTTACCTCCCCGAAAGAGACTCCGCCCTTCGGCGTAGCCTCGTTCTGGTTCCTCCCCACCCGAAAGCAGAGAGTTCAATCGATCAGCCGGTCGCCCGACTTCAGACTGAACTCCCTGCTTCCTCTTGAGGCGCAGTATTTATTACGTATGGAATAGTCCATTATGTTATTATGGGTAAGGTCCCATAACACTGGACTGGCTAGCAGGAAATTTTAACCCACGTGTGTTCTTTACGTCTTCACTGCCACTGTGACGGCAGTTGGTCCAGGGTCGAATCCTTTGGTCACGGCGCCAACGGTGACGTCGCTCCTCCGGGTCGCTCCTTGCTGCCCCAAGTGTGACGTTCCAACCCCTTGGTTAGATGATGATTACCAGCCTAATTTTTTCCCAACTCGCTTCCAACACCTGGTTACCAGGGTAACTGTACTGATCTCCGGTCTGCCACCCACGTTGTGATTAGATCTTAGACAGACGGGATCAAACAGGATTGGGGCCGTATGCAAGCTGAGTTCGATCATATAATAAAAACACAAATAAAAAGAAAAAAACTCACGAGACCAAAAATTACCTATAAAAAAGGGTAACAACCTTTTATATCTAATGTTCGTTACATAAAATTATTCTTATTTCCCGACCCGCTTTGTGGACTGTGGCACCAAGCTTCTATCATACAACTTAAAGACTTCAGAGTTGCCTACTCTCTAGAATTTTTGTGTGTCGGGGTGTGGTTTAGTTTTGACACTGGGCGCTAATCTCTACCAGTCGTTCACGGCTGATTCTTCTCTTCGGCTTGAGTTGGACGTATTTCTTCACTTCGATTTGGTTTGAGACGAATTTCATTGTATTTGGGCTTGGTTTGATTTCAACTTCTTCTATGCATAACTTCAAGTAAATTCTTCTTCTTCCGTCCTGACAACTCTTCTTCACTGCCGTCTGAGGTGATCTGAGCTCTTGTCGTCCGGGGCTGAACCAGGCTCTCTGTTTGGCCTGCAACTTTACTGCCTGTCTGGCCTGCAACTCTTCTCTCTGCCGTCTGAGGTGGACCCTTCCAAATTTGCCGTCCGGGGCTGAACTCATTTCTGTCGACTGGGGTCCTGCTTTTATTGACGCCGCAACAAACTGGGGTGGGTCTGTCGGCGTCAGGGTTTTCTCGATAATTCCAAAAGTCGCATTACTTCTGATTTCCCATTATCGCTCTTATTTTTCCCCCTACTTCCTCACAGTGCCTCTGGTGGGGAGGCGCATACCCATCTCTCCCGGTCTCTCGTATGTCAGGTGACCGTTTTTCGACCAATGGGTCTTGATCGAGCGTCCTTTCTCCTCTTTCTCGCATATCACGTGACCGCTTTCGGCCAATGAGATTCTGGTTGGGCGTCTCCCGTACTTCGTGACGTCTCCAATCGGGCGTGGCTTATCCCGTCGTTGTCCTGGGAAAGAACACCACCTTTAAAATAAAAAAAAAACAAAATCTAATTTGGCCTTTTTCGCACGTACAAAAATGACAATCTCGGCTTTTCTCACCTTCCTGGTCTCTGTCAAAACAGCCCGCCGCTAATTAGATGTGACTTCAGGAAGAATTTTCTCCGTCTTACTGGCGCTCTCTGTGAGCCAAGAACAATCGTTTTCACCTCTTTTTTTGCTCAGACCTGATAGTCAAAAATCTTAATTATCTGAATTGAAAATGTCTTCACTTCATCATCGTGGGGGTTCAATTTTTAACAGGTCAGAATCTGTATACAATTCCAGCGGTCACCTTCTCATCCCAAATTTTTTTTTCTCCGATTAATATTTCGTTTTCCATTGTTCTAAAAATCCCATTTCTCCAAATTGATAATGAGTCTTCTACACAAAAAGTAGGCCAGATGCTTTGACCGACATTTTTATCAATCGTACATATGTTCATACACTTTTACCAAGCCTGTTTTCTTTCTTTCTTTTAATTACCTTTAATTCTATTCTCCCAAATAACAATCTCCATTGTCACTTGAAATTCAGTCAGGCGCGTTGGCCTCTTTTGACACCTGTTTTCGCTAATGTCCGACCTTTTGCATTACTCATTTTTTTTTTTTTTTTTTTTCTTTTTTTTTCTTTTTTTAGGATCGGATCGTAAGTACAATTAGAGAATTATTCTCGAAACTCAATTATTCTTCGTCTAAAAAAAACTAACAACTGGTTAATAAACTGAATAAAAAAAAAATTAAATCATATTTCTATGAATATTTCCTTTCTTTAGTTTTTTTCTAATAATGCAGGGTGCCACACACGGTCCATTACACACTCGATAGATCTAGATTTTGTCACGAAGATTATGGAACGGGAACAAGAAGAAGCCTATAAATACCTAGCAACCAGTGGAGGAGATGGAATGCAGCCTACGCAAATGAAGGAGAAAGTAAGAAAACAATAGTACAGGCGTGTGCGTCTGGAGTTAAATACCAAGTTTAATTCACAAAGCAGAATATCAGCCATAAACACTTTGTCTGTTTCTGTGATGCAATACAGTTTCAATATCCTTAATTGGATCATAGCTGACAGTAAGCGAATGGACGTCAAAACGAGAAAGCTTCTCATTTGCCATCCTAAGGCAGATGTTGACTGTATGTGACAAGATCTGAAGGTGGAAGAGGATTAGTTCAACTAGAACTGTATTACGAAATCACAAGAATCGGTTTTCAAAGATACCTGGAAAGTACAGAAGACTGGATGATGATCTATGTCAAAGAAAATGAAATAAATAAGAAACTTTATTCAGTACTAAAGGAAGCTAACAAATGAAAAAGGGAAATTTAAGTGGTTGAAAAAGTGCAAATAAACCATACTGCACTTACTGCAACGGCAAAGTACCTAAAAAAGAAGGCAAAAGCAAAACAAATGCAATATCCAAATGCAGAAGCAATGATAAGATAAGCCTCTTCACGGGCAGTACTCTGCCCGTAAAAAACTCGTACTTATCAGTGGCTACGTAGTGCAGGGTTAAAAGCTGAAATCGAAGATTTTAGTCTTGTTGCACAGGACCAATGCTTGCTAACTAGAAATTACCAAGCACATATACTGAAAAAAATGTATTTACCCGAAATGCAAATTCTGTGGTGAATATGTCGGAGTTAGCTCCTCCTTTAGTTCCTTAATCCTTCACCAGGGGTCTCTCTCCCTTGGCTATAAATACTGGGTGACTCTTCGCCTCGATCTCTTTTTTTCGTCAGGCCTTGGGCCTTATACCATCTCGCAGATGTGAGCTCTCACAGATACAGCGTTTCCTAAATTTTGGGAACACGCTAAAAACAATACACGTACGTACGAACACTCACCACAACACACACACATAATATTCACCACACAAACTCAATGTAACTGTCCATGTGCTTGTAACTTGTTGTTAATCCATATATTTGTTTGTATATAATTATTGGTCTTGTTTGTTTTCTTTGTCTTCTTTGGACTTAATTAATGTCCAACATTCTCAGGTAGCTGGACCGGCTATCAGGAAATTTTAACCCAAGTGTGTTCTTTATATCTTCACCGCCCCGGTCCGCTACAAATATCCACAAACAATTGACCACCTTGTATCAAGTTTCACAATGTTAGTACCGACTGAATATAAAAATCTGCATGACAGAGTGGGCCAATATCAGCACTGGAAAATCTACAACTTTTACCGGAAGGAAAAGGCAAGAAACTGGTATGAATACTACACAGACCCGGTTACAGAGATAGGACCTGTTACAATTCTATGGGACTTTATAATGTACACGGACAGAACAATCAAAGTTAATCACCTAGACATCTTCATCAATGACCACAAAAACAGATTGGGCATGACGGTCCCTGCAGAATTTAATGCATATTTGAAGGTCTTCAACAAACTATCAAAATACAAGGATTTTGAAGTGGAAATCTAAAAAAAAATATGGCACATGAGGATATCAATAAATCTAGTTGTAGTTGGAGCCCTCAGATCGATTGGAAAAAGGTTCCGAAAGACACATTGGAGGGATCCCTGACATTCACATGCCTTAAAGAAATACAAAAAAAAAAAAATGTATTCAAAAGTACAGCTCACGCATTACGAAGGGTTTTATCTATGTAAAATATGTGTGATCTTAGGGTTTTGTTTTCACAAAAATGGTCAGTGGAAATGTCATGAAGCCATTTCTGACCTTAGGTCTCTGGGAAATGTGTATACACAACGTAAATGAAAGGAAATAATAATAATAATAATAATAATAATAATAATAATAGATATATATTAAATATAATAAATAATTTTTATTTTTTCGAAGGGATCAGCATCAATTTCATCAATGCTGAATTGAGAAGACGTACGGATTTATATTTATATCAAAATTGCTAAAACGATGTGGAAGGCGGTAAAATTCCAAGGGAAATAACTTTGGATTGTATTAAAGGGAGGTAATTATTTCGCAACGCATGCGTATTGGAAAATATGTTAGAGAAAGAAAAATAAAGAGAGAGAGAGAGAGAGGGGGGAGAGAGAAAACGAGGAAGAAGGAGAAAGAGAAAGAGAGAGTGAGGAGAAAGGTAGAAAAAGAGGGAAAGAAAAAGAAGGAGGGGAAAAGAAAAGCCAAAAAGTAGAAAAATAATGAAGAGAAAAAAGAAGTGAGGAAAAGAGAAAGCTAAAAAAGAAAAAAAAAGAAAGAAAAAAAAGAAAAGAGAAAAGAAAGAAAAAAGAAAAGAAAGAAGAAAAGAAAAGTGAAAATAAAGAAGAGAATGAAAAATTGACGAAAAAATTAAGGGTTAAGTAAGAGATTGTTACGGGACCTTACCCATAATAACATAATGGTCTATTCCATACGTAATAAATACTGCGCCTCAAGAGGAAGCAGGGAGTTTAGTCTGAAGTCAGGCGACCGGCTGAGCGGCTGAACTCTCTGCCTTCGGGCGGGGAGGAACCCGAACTAATCTACGCCGAAGGGCGGAGTCTCTTTCGGGGAGGTAAACCGACCCTGATCCCGTTTATACGGGTTCAAAGGGCATATTTTTGGCCGAGCCCACGGGTTCGGAGATCCCACGGGCTCGGCGATCCCACGTTAAACTGGCCTTGTGCCACATGATGCCCTCGTGGTGGGGGGTGACTAAATACTGTTCAGTCCGAAGTCGGGCGACCGGCTGATCGGATGATCGGTTGAACTCTCTGCCTTCGGGCGAGGAGGAACCCCAACAAGGCTACGCCGAAGGGCGGGGTCTCTTTCGGGGAGGTAAACCGACTCTGAACCCGTTTATACGGGTTCAAAGGGCATATTTTTGGCCAAGCCCACGGGCTCGGAGATCCCACGTTAAACCGGCCTTGTGCTACATGATGCCCTCGTGGAGTGGGGTGACTATATACCGTTCAGTCTGAAGTCCGGAGTGAAGTTCGTCAGGAGTCTATCAGTCAGTCAGAGCGAGCGAGTCAGTCAGTCGAGTCAGAGGCAGACCGAAACAGAGTCGCGTTCAGACAATTACTACTAAACCTGATTGTTCATACTAACACATCTACTTCTCTGTATATATTCCTGTTTGTAATATATCTGTGTTATTCCATATATGTGTTCGAGTTCTTCTTTATTGGTTCTACCTTGGACTATTACCGTAGTACAAGGAACCGGACCATAACAATAGTGATAAAGTCGTGTCAAGAGTCGAGTCAGAGGCAGTCCGAAACAGAGTCACGTTCAGAAAATTACTGCAAGACATTGGAATAATGATACTGGTCGAGACTACATTGTTCTCCCTACTAAACCTGATTGTTCATACTAACACTTTTTACTTTTCTGTATATATTCCTGTTTGTAATATATCTGTGTTATTCCATACCTGTGTTCGAGTTCTTCTTTATTGGTTCTACCTTGGACTATCACCGTAGTACAAGGAACCGGACCATAACAGATATATATATGATTGCGTATCTGGGTCAAAGTGTCATTGTTGCAGCTACTATATCTATATAATAAATGCAAAAGTCAGTGTGTCACATTTTTTCAAATTTACTCCTAGAGGCCTAGAGTAATTTTTCTTCGGCAGATCGCACACAAAACACGAACTCTTTTTCGAGGTAAGCTCATTGTCTCTTTCACTACAATTTCACAAAATTTGGGCCGCTTGATCATCAAAATCCAGGTAAAACGTGTGAAAAAGGTATGTCATTAATAATAATAATATTAGGACAAAATAATGCGAACTAACGAAGGGTGGGACACGCCCGATTATAATAGGATTCAGTAGCCATTAGTATAATCCAAAATAACCGTTTCCGCCTATTCCTGTCTAAAAATGAATATTGGTCATTTATATTTGAGTCTGCCAGTATTTACGTGATTTATGGAATAGGTAATTATTGACAATATTTCTGAGTCTATAAGCATTTTGTAGTGAAAGAGATAATCAGCTAAAAAAAAAAAAGAGTTTTGTTTATTATGCGATTTGCCGAAGAAAAATTACCAAAAAGTAGTTAGCAAAAATCTACTTGAAGGACCAGAATCTATTCTAATATTCTTCCCCCTCCCCCTGAATGGTACGACCAATCAGAAAGATCTCTCGGTGAATAAAAACCGTTGTTTTTCGCTTATGTAGCAGATTTTGAATTTTCTGAGCTTGGTGGACGAACACGCGTTTTTGCTGGTGAGAAGTGAAGGTTGGATGTGTGACCCCCATTTTGTCATTTCTACGTTGCCTGTTGGACTGTTACGACGGACTGTGATTTGGTTAAAAGTGTTGAGGTCGAGAGACACAAGAAATCTTTTGCAGACGTTTATTGCTACTATAAGTTGATAAGTTGACACATTTATATACTTCGGGGTGTAGTGTCCATAAAGAAATACATTGATAAAAAAAAAAAAATTAATCATACTGTCACGGTGTCGGGTCCATAAAAAATAAATAAAAATGAATTATAGTGCTAAAAATAAGGATAATAAAACAATTATAACAATTATAATTCATTCACGCTAAACCAATGAGAATCGGCCCCACTGTTCTCCTCTACACACACAAATACGTAACATTGTCACTATAGGACAAGAAGTTCACACGGACAGGTTGTTAACACGTGCGTCAACGAAAATTTCATCTCCTTTTTCCTTTTTCAGGTCATAATAGTAACGTTTATCTCTTAGCACTCAATAAAGAAATCAAGGTATGAAACCCCCAGACATTTCTTGTATTTTTCCAGCTAAATTATCTGGACACTCATTACCTACATAAAAAACATACGAGAAAGATTGTATACAATTTATTTATTTTTATCTTATCATTCTGTCGGATTTCGATCCATATTTGATCTGCGTTTGACCCCAAACTCACAATTTTATTCACTATTACTGTCTTTCATGTTTTCAAAACCACATAACGTAATAATAGTTAATACTCTTTTTATTGTTTTCACGTCTAGCTGTTTCTCATTTTCTACGAGTATTTTTGTATATATAAATGTTAAAGGGTTTATAATTATTTCCTTAGTTATATCTCCGCTATAAGAGGCGACTATTGATCACTTATATTTGAGTCTGTAAGCATTTACTTGTTTCGGGGGATAAGTAATTATTGGCACTTGAAAGGTGAAAGCTTTTCTAATTAATTAATGTCATAGTTTTTTACATTTTTTTTTTATAATTCAGAGCAGATTTTCTATGATATGGGGTACTGTTTTACAAAAAAAAAAAAAAAAAAAAACTGGTGATTTACTTTCTACAAAGAGTCCTGTTTATAACTAATAAAACAAATCCTGCGCTTGAAGATTTAATTTCTCGAAATTTCATGAAAATATGTAAGTGGGTGGAAACATGTTAAAAAAAAATCTCTTTTTAATAAGATTTTCTAAAAAAAAAAAAAAAATTTCATTCATTTGTGAATAAGTCCTGAAAGTTTCATTTAAAATCCGACAATTATTTGATTTTTGCAAGAATTTTTAAACTTAGGTATCGAAAATTTATGCCAAAAGTGGAGGTCCCTACACTTAACTTACTTACCTATAAATCTGTGACAGCCATTAAGAGGGTTAGTATGTGGGTAGTAATTCTTCACCTCGAGATTGCACTCTTGATAACTGGGTATCTGGGAATGGAGTAAATTCCCATTTTATGATAGTTGAAGCTTCTGTGAATTCCTTAATTAGCTTTTTATTTGCAACTTCAAACAATTTTTAAAAGCGAGGGTTTGGGATCCCTATTTTAAAAATGATAAGCTGACACAGCTGAACACCTTTTGGAATTTTCTTTCCCAGTCTGTTGCTCTCAAAAGGTCGTCATAGTTTTGGCTTATTCAACTAATCTTTTGATAGAATAGATAAAGTAAACATTTTGGTCGATAAACGTGTCCGTAATTAAGATGTCATATCAACAGGAATCTTTTTCCCATGACACCGCTTTTTTAACTACCTTCACTCTTCAGCAATGTTTATTGATTTTAAAAGCGATGACGAGAATTGGAATAAAACCTAAATATATGAAAAAAGTTAATTTATACATTTTTTTGTTCTTGAGAATTTATAACAAAAATATTAACACAACTTAGATTGATTATTTACAAGAATAATTTTATATTTACAACATTCTAAAAATTAATACAAATGTAATGGAATATTTATCATTTACCAGTTCAAAGAAATAAATATGGAAACAATGTTTTATTCATAAATTTATAAACGTTTAGTAAATTATTAAAATATATTATTATAAGGAAATTCTTATTATTTACCATTTTATAAAGTTCGAATCAATTGGCAATTATCTGATGTTTACCAAACATTTGAATAAATAATATAATAAATAAATAGTGTAAATAATGGTTGCCTATTTATAGACTTAAAGAGCGTCCCCTAGAGACAGTTTCTTAGTAAAGTCAAGTGGGGGTAACCCACAATTTACAAGAATAATTTTATATTTACAACATTCAAAAAAACTAATTCAATGCAATATTTATCATTTACCAATTCATAAAGTAATAAATATGAAAACAATTATTTTTTTATTCATAAATTTGTAAACATTTACTAAATTATTCAAATATGTGAACAAACTATAAGGAAATCCTTATTATTTACCATTTTATAAAGTTCGAATTGTTAAATCAGCCAATGTTTGCCCAACGATTCCAATAAATAAGATAATAAATAAATAGTGTAAATAAACAATCTAATAATTAAATAGTGTTTATTATTTTTGTTGTCAATTCTTAAGAACAAAGAAAATGTATAAATTCTCTTTTAGCATATGCTTAGATTTTATTCCAATTCTAATCATCGCTTTTAAAACAATAAACATTGCCAAAGAGTGAAGGTATTTAGAATAAAAGCGGTGTCATGGGAAAAATGTATCTGTTTAACACTTCATTCCAATAAATAAGCTAATCTAATGAATAGCGGAAATAATCAATCTAATAAATAAATAGTGTTTATTATTTTTGTTGGTAATTCTCGAGGACGATGAAAATGTATGAATTCACTTTAATTTTTACATTTTATTCTGATTCTAATAATCTCTTTTTGAAACAATAAACATTGGTGTAGGCAGTTAAAATGAAAGCGGTGTCATGGGAAAAACCTTCCATATGACACTCCGTTTTTTTTTGTTTTTTTTTTCGTTCACGAAGGTCTTTGTTTGCCAGAATAACAATAAAAAAATCTAACCTCCATTTTATA